CTCCCCCCGCCCCGCGGCCGGGCGGGGGGGCCGATCCCTTCTCTCTCGAACCCCACTGAAGGGAGGGCAGGTTCTGGGGCTCCCGGCCGCCCTTGCACCCACTTCCCTGGGCAGGGTGGGGCCGGGCTGCACACTCACCCCCGTGCCATTGTCGCACACCACCACCCGGCGGCCCTGGCTGTCCATGGGGGCTCCGCCTCTCGCTGCCCTGAGCCGTCTGAGCCTCGGAACCGCGGTACCAGCTCCGAGACCCGGCACCCAGCGCAGGAAACCAGCCCCGCTGATGTAACATCCTGGGCTGGGGCCGAGGCGGAGGCGGGGGCGGGTGTGTCCCCGTGCGGCGTGATGCTGCCCCCTGCTGGGGAGACTCAGAATAGCGGGGGAGACCGGCGCACAGCTCAGGCCTGGGGGTCCCCGGGAGCTCTCTCTCCCTCCGCTCTGCGGGAAAACTTCTTTCAGTGGTCAACTTAGAGCCACGTGCACAACGAGCGCGGGATTTGGGCGTGTAAGGAGGGGCTTGCTGCTTGCGGCGCAGCGGGAGTCACAGGATCAAGGAGTTGGAGAGATCAGAGCGCAGATTGCCCCCATTACTGCAATGGTTCAGCACCCCTCATGCACCCTTCTCCCCAGGAGGCGGGGCAGCGCTGTGATCCCCACTTTGCAGTCGGGAAACTGAGGCCCGGAGAGAAGTAAGGGTAGCAATAAACCACCCGGCCTGGCCTCGCTCAGCTGGCTCGATTAATGGGGCTCGGATTGCAGAGCTGTTGTGTGAGCAATCGGAGATTGGGTCGGAGCCCTGGGGTGGGATCCCAGGATGGCGAGGTTTCCAGGGCTCCAGCTGGCGATTGCACAGCAGTTACCCAGCCCTGATCCTGTAGCTGTCTAATTGCTGTGTAGACAGACCCTGTGTGTTCTAGGTTCCTAGTGCCTAAGGCCAGAAAGGACTGATCCGGTCTGAGCATCTCCGGGCCCGGCCCAACAACAACCTTAGACCAAAGCTTTTCAGTCTCTGGAGACTAACGTGCTTCGAGCCCCAGGTACCCGAGGCTTCTGCGGTGGCAAGGAATTGCTGAGATAAGCCGTGCCCGGGTGATTCCAGCTCCTACCCCTGCTTCAGAGGGAGGTGAAAACTCCCAGGGCCCCTGCCAATCTGACCTGGGGAAATTCTCTCCCGGTCCCCAATGTAGTGATCAGCTGAATCTTGAGTAACTGACCAGCGCCCACCAGCCAAGCTGCTAGAGAGGACATTCTGTGAACAGGCTCCAAGCCCCAGCGCCCCCCTTTCATCACCCTCCTTCTGGTGACCTGTCCCTGAAGAGGGGTACTAGCTGTTCAACCCAGAATAAATCTGGCCCATTGGTGCATCAGTGTAGAAAGTGACCTGGCCCATGTGCCAGGAGGAGGCTGGTGGGGAGGGGACGGGAACGAGGCTGATTCCCTGGCCCCTGAACCAGCCTTCGCGTTCATCCTGCTAATGGGCACAGAAGACCATTTGGAGGCGGAACCAGGAGTTTGCCGCGGATATGGCCCTCCCGATTCAGTGTGTCCCCAGGCCGGCAGGGGAGATGTGGCAGAACCCAGGGGGAGCGCTTCTCGTGTGGGGACTGGACTGGAGGGTCACATCTCTACCCCGTGAGCATCCCTGCTCGGCAGGAAGGGGGGCCAGAGCCCAGCCCCTCGTGCCCCCCGACCCACAGCAAGCGCCCTGCCCCCCAGCCCAGCTTC